GAGTTTCGTATCAAACTTCAATAATGGCACTTTAACAACAAAGCAAGAAAGTAGATGGAGAAAATGAATTATTCATAAGATTTAATAATCGATATGTGTATCACTGAGTAGTATCTTACCTTCCGAAGGTTATAAAAAGTTTCTTCGTGCTTAATTTTTGAGCCGATCGCTTTTACAGGGTAAATTCCTCGTATCGATAAGAACCCAGGAAAAAAAAACCTTTACAAATGAACAAAGTGAAAAAGACCACCCGTGAAACACTTTTCTCTTTTGCGCCAGAAAAGATTAGAGAAAATAAATGGCGCTCTTAAATTTAATGGCCAAAAAAATGTCATTAAGAAAAGAATGAGGAGGGGCTAGAAAAAAAGGAAATTGCTGGACATGAAGTACGCAATTTGCTTTTTTAGATAAATTATCTTGAATCAAACTACTCTAACATGGGTCATTTCAATAAAATGATACACTTGCTATAGCAGAAAGAGGTCATTAAATTTTATCGTGTTTGTTTGATTCGTTTCTTTGAATCACAATTTATCAAAGTTGTTTCTATAATTTACCACTTCAGAATATGAATTGATTTGGATACAATAGGAATGTCACGTTAACCATAGTTATTTTATTGACGAAAGCTTGTGATTATAAAAATTGGATATTCGTCTAATCTAGCCATTGATTAAGCTGTTGATCGGTTTTGTAAGCAGTTGTTTTTGCGTGGAACGAATTGAAGTTCTCATGAAATATTGGGCGGTACTGTGACTCTTCGAATGCATGATTCAACGGTAGCTGTATTATTACTTGGAAATTCTCTTTCAGATTTTCAGAGCATAAAAGAAGATTCGCTGTTATCTATTATTTGGTTATAATTCTTCAACTTCATTTCGAATGTCAAGAAAAAAAAATGAACGTTTTCTACATTGTTATGCAAAATACAGTTCCCTGAAGTTTATGTTTGCAAAATCAACCAAAAATATTTGGTTTATAAATAACTGCTTTTCTGAAATTGGTAATTGCAGCATTGAAATGATAATGACATTGAGTGGTAATCAAACGATTATCACAACGGTTATGATAAAGCTTTGCGGTATTTAACATGAATAAAAAACAGTTCAGACTTACTTCACACCATTGGTAGCCATTTCAACAATTTTCAACCGGATGTGCTGGGGCAACGGACGGCCATTGATAAATACACCACCAAGTTGATTCACTCGACCCTATAATTGCTATTTACTTTTCAGTTAGTTTTCAAATCCAGTAAGGTACAGTTAATGAAGACTAAGAATACTGAGAAGAAAATAGAAAGTGTAACATACTTGTATTAAATAACTTTACGGTTATTTAGGAATGCAAGAGATCAACAGCCCGGTTTTGGTTGTGGAGAAGTTAAAGAGATCGAGGTGCTAGCAGTTAATATCAATAATAAGGTGGGATGTAAAATATGACCTCTGCAGATTATGGTGTAACCTTATATCATCAGTGGAGTTGCTGATAGACAAAACCTTCAATGAAATGGTAGAACTGTGCGGAAGTCTGTTTTTATCATTTTGGAAAAGATACATTTAAAAACGGATGCAAATAGAACTAATACAAACTGATTCAAACTGGAATGAAATTTTGTAAATCTCAGAAATTTACCAGAGGTAAAGGTTCTCTTCGAAATTCAACAAATATTTTCCTTTAGAAGAATTTCTTAATAGAAGAGAATATCTCAACGTAATGTTGTTTTAGACTTTTTGATAAACTACTTGATTTTTTTACCTTTATTCTAGACAATCCCTGACAGGATCGTAGCTTGCAATGTTGAAGAAGCTAAATGTATGAGAAATTCTGATGCATCAAGTGATCATTTAGAATTTCAGTCAATTCACAGAAAACAAATAAATTACCTGTCCCATAATATTAGCAAATGTGAAAGAATGATGGTTTGATGTTAATGCCGTGGTATCACTAACAGCAGCGGTAGTAGAGCTGATGTCAATGGTAGTGGCATTACCTATGGTACATGCCATTATTGTGGTGGTAGTACCAATGACAGCAACAACAACAAAAACTTCAACAACCAATTCACACCATTTACCGATTATTTAAAAAAGGAATGATAATTTTAATGGTTTGATGTGCGGGGCGTCGGTTGTCCGAAGGTGCATGGAGGTGGGAGTGTTCTATGATTGAAATCATTTTCATGTATCCGAAAATATGAATGCTCCTTGTTGGTGTGATTGCTTCTACCATAATACAACTTAACTTCATCTCGTGTTTTGCTTGTTATCATCTCTTTGACCTCCTCCTCCTTCATCTCTTCTCTTTTACCTTCCTAAACCATATCCATTCCGTTTGAAATAAACACCTCCACACTAACATTGCAGGTTACCAACGGTTGATCTCTATCCCCGTCCTCCTACTCCCTTTCCATCTCCACTCCTTCTTCTGTGGTTTGTTTTGTTGATGACTGATAATTATACGCTGTTAGAACCCATCACAGCATTATTAACCACCCGAAAATTCCCAGTGCGATGTGTGTTTGTTTGGTTTCTGCTCCGCCTCCACATATGGGTCCTATGGTTACAAGTCTGTCACCGAACATCCCAACAACCACACCATTAAGTACCGTATCAGACACAGAGCAACATTACATATTCTATGTCACCTTTATCAATTTCGTCATCATCATCTTTATCGTACCCATTTGCATCATTCTTATCATTGTCATGGAAAGAGTCAATGATTGCAATGAAATTGTATATGAACGTAACAAAACAGTCTGTGATAGGATTTAATGGTGCTTGGTAAAGTTTGTTAGATTTAACATGATATTAACAATAGAGTCACGAGGTCAGAGGGAAATAGTGAGGGGTTTCAAATTAACACATTTCATGGGATAGAACGACCATCAGTTTTTTACAGTGTCCAATGAAGGAAGTGAGGACATCCGAAATTAGCTCTTAAGTGATTTAAGTCAATTTCAATGCATTGCTAGTTCATTTGTAGTTAGACTGAAGGACGGCGAAGCTTTCAAAATGTGGGTCCAAAGACTGGAACTTTTAATTTGAATGAATGTCTAGTTATCCGTCATTTTTACATTGATTTGGTTTAAACCTCAAGAACTCGTCTAAAATCCTTAAAATTATTTCTTTTCTCTCTATAGATTTGGTAAGGAAAGACTAAGATTGAAAGCGCCTCGTTAATTGCAATTGCTCATGTTCTTGTAGCGAATTTGTTCGACAAAACTATCTCGTCCTTACCTTCAAAGCTAAAGAAACTAACTTAGGGATCTGTGCAAAAGACATAAAGATTTGGCTGTCGCTGTAGTCTAGAAGGCCCTAAATGTTTCTCAGATTGAATGGTCACACTTTAAACATTTTTTTTTAGAAAGTATAGGAAATAGAAAATGCAAATATCATTATTGAACATTACTAAAATAAGCGGTCTAGGTCTGCATGGCAATAACCGAAAAGAAAATCTCGAATATCTTGTGTGCTCTTCTAAATACGTCACACAGTTCAAATGTCTTCCCAACTTTTTATTAAGTCCTAATTTCAAACCGTTACATTTGCTAATGACTCGCTTGTTCTTAGGAATACAAATTCATTTGTTCATCTCTCACTCTCTCTCCCAAAAATAACAGACACTCGGTTTCATTTTTTAAGAGAATGAAATAACGAAGTTTAGTTTCGATGGAATTCGTCGACAACAAGTAATACCAAATCAACAGGGAAAACAACTGCAAGCTTTATGCAGCTTTATGCAATTGTGAAATCAAATTATCACTTAAAATTAAAATTTGAAATGAAGGTTATAAGAAATTGATTTTCAGGTTTTGAAACATTAGTTATATCTTAAATGTTGACATCCTTGATACCAGTTAAATATTTTTATTTTTTGTCATATTTTCAAGATTCAGTTTTAAATCCCGGTTATTAAGAACTGGAATTTATTGCTTGTTTACATAAGAGTTGCAGCGTAAGAGCGAACATATGATCGCAGCCTCTTGCTCAAAAGTATCTTTTCGCGTCACTTCAATAGTAATTCATTTCATTTTCAAGTGACCCCAACTCGATCAGCTATAGTAATGCTTCGTTAGTTTGCCATAAAAAAGGTCTCGGAAAATCTTTACAACTTTATATTTTTTTTAATAGATGCAATTTAATCAAAGTTCCCGAAAAATATTTGTATAATCAATACCTGTAAAAATACCGTGATATTTTGCCAGTCAAACAAGCTACTAGCCCTAAGTTAAACCCATGAGATCATCCTGAATATTGTCACCCATAACATATGATGTGAATTTATTACCTCCGGGATCCTTTGCCAGAAAAGTATAGCATCCTTCATCTGCACAACTTCGTTGACTACTTATAAGTTCGCTTTCTTCATTCATTATGTCATTACATTTAGTTTTATACCAATCTAAACCTAATAAGTATGTAGGAAATACAGAGAGATTGTCTCAGAGACAGAAAGCGATAACTTACCAGCTCATCTCCTCCAATTAAAAATAGTTTTTATGCCACTTTTCTTATTACTTTAAATCTAGAAAAGATCATAAATGATGAAGGCAGAAAATGTGTATTGTTTTCATTTACAAGAGTCTAAGCTATAGTAATAGTTCATCAGCTTAGGTCTAGATGCGACCAATTCCGGGATTATAACAGATTTTCAGTCTTTCTAAATTCTTGGAACGTTCTGCATATTTATAATAATTATCCGAAGTATAATATCCACAATTACCAACAAGCATAAACTTTTTCAAAGGTCTTGTCTTTCATCAACTAATTTATTTTTTCCCAACATTTTTTTTTTTTACAAAAAAAAAAAAAGAAATTGGAAAATTTTTCTGCACATTTCATGATCAAAAATTACGCTTTAAAAGGTGAAGTAATTACGGATATTTTTCAAGCAAATACAATACTTGATTTTATTTGATTTTTTTTTCCTAAGCAAATTAATCGCATCGAACGATAGTTTTCTCAACTTGTCAACAAATTTTATTTCATCTTCTATTTCTTTCTTTAATTGGCCAGCTAATGCACATTTATTATAATCCATTTCTCCTCGGCAAAAAATGAAACTATCATCAGATAGTTTCTTACTGAATATGTACATGGATATGATGGCAATGAGGAATGCCGTTCGCCATTGGTAAGGAAGGAACGGTCAACAAGTGGCTCTCTGTTAGACAATCGTTTCAAAGTAAGATTAATCGAACATATAAAAAGGTAATTATTTCAAGGAAGTAAATAGTTCCATTTTTTCACAAAAGACCTATTCCCGACAAATTATCTCAAGACCCATTCCCGACAAATTATTCCAACTATCTCCAATCTTTAACAGAACAAAAGCGGTAGGAGAGAGATTGTGTGCAAGTGGAAGTGGGTAAACAATCATCCAATTCAACTCAATCCATAAATAATCGAAAATTTCTCAAAACATCCCCTCCCTTACCTTACCAGCAACCTCTCACCCCTCCCCGCCTCTTCTTTTTTGGCATATTATATCATCAGTCTTCGGCGAGCCCATTATGCAAAAACTCGTCCCAAAGAGCGACAGAATTCTTTAGCTTTCTATCGGAATCAATTAATGACGACATAAATTAAACGGGCAGTGACAATCTACAAAGCGATAATGGTCGAGTGGCGCGGCGTCTATTGCTGCAGCTGCAACTGAGTTCAGATGGTTTTTCTTTTTTTTCTAAACAAAGTCAATTTTCCCTGCCCGCATCAAAAATTTGATATATAATTATGAAGTGTCGTTTTAATCGTTTTCAGACCGGCGGCACTTTTCGAATTTTCTGCTCATGAAGAAAAATGAAAAAGTGGTAATTTTTTCTAACCTTACAGTTTTCAATGATTTTTTGCTTTGATTTTGATGATTTGGAGTGTAAAAAATATTGAATGACATAAAGAGAGGACAACCACAACAAGGACAATTTGTTCAACTACACAGATATACATCACAGTCCCTTTGATTACATTAACTGCGCAGGGAAGAAAGCAATAATTGGTTTTAAATAAATTACACTTAGAAATTTGATAAATTAATATGAGAAAAATGACCTTTTCAGTAAAGATTTGATGATTGATAATTAGAACAAGATATCGTGATTTCATTGCAATAGTGTTGTAGCTATCAAAATATCCTCAGTTTAGGATATTACTAAACCTTTTAACTTAGTTTTAGTTGGGTCTTTTGTGTGGATTTACTAATGCCTTCTTTTTGAGGATTTTTGAATTTTTAATTTTCTTTCACGCACTATCGACTATCGACTGTCGATGGAGAAAACCCTTTTTAGTCTCTTGAGTTTGCACCATGTATAAATTTAAATTAACACTTAATACCTAAACCTTATCATTATTTGATGTACGCCTTTGTTAGAACAACGATGCATATAGTAGCGGTATCTTGTGATGATTATTAGCAGAACACTGTGTTTTGCTAAGCAAAAGGCTATAGTTTCGGACAAGTGTAACTTAATTGTACCCGATAAAATCAGTTTTTATCTTATCAGATAATAAATTATGCTAAAATTTGATTGATCCACAGTACCTTAATGAAGAATTGATGGGTGATGAGAATAGATCAAAGATTTATCTGCTTGCCAGTTCTTAGTATCGTCCTTTTTCAGCGGAATTTTACATCTGCCATAAGCGCTGCAAATTAACCGCTGAAACTATTCTGCTCATGAAAGTAAAATTTCATAATCGAATTCCAGAAAAATCTTAGTCAGACTTTTGAATTTCATTTTTGGCTTTAAAAAACCATCATGTAAATGCTCTAGTAAGTCACTTGATCGCTGGATTTCTCAATCATTGACTTATTCATTCTTCCTTCACTCCTCCAGTTAGTTGGCCATTCAGTTAGTCAGTCATTAAGTTCATTGAAAATCCTTATCAATACTACGATCTTTCTGAGTTGTGTGCGTGCACAAACAGCGATGGGTTATACGACAAGGTTACTCACACCTCCTATCTTAATACTCATTCCCACTACTGTGATGTACGAAGTATAATAATACACACTCTAGTTGATCGTTATCACTTTTTCTCATTTTGTGAAGATCAAGGAAATATTAATTAATTCATCATCGAACCTACGAAACCGTATGATCCATTGAGCGCCTGTGTCGGAATATATAACGATACGGATGAAGAGAAAATACCGGGATAAGTGAAAAAGCGATTCAGGGAAAGCTATAAAAAACAGATTTGGAAAGTGGAAAATAAAATGTGGTTGTTGTGTTATTATAGTCAAAATTTTCTAAAAATTAATGCACTAGCACACTAAAAACCAATTGAAAAGATAAATATGTGGTTAGCATTCCAAAAGATCCATTTCTGATGAGAGGGACATTATTTCTATGCCCAAATAAGGGAACGAGGAACCATAGCCTTCCCAAACCTATATTAAAAGTCGGTATATCTTTGAATAATGCACATCTCGTTTAGAACTACACCTAACTAACTATTCTAAAACAACAGTTCTCGACCTATTTACGTATCAATTGGTCTTGAGAAAGTTGTTCCGATGTCTTATACTCAGACCTTATGTCGTGACGATTTCATTTGTCACTGAAATGTGTTTGCATTGTTGACAACACTAGGTGGAAATTCTCTTTTGGATTTTTTAATTATTTTGTTTGATGTTATTGGTCTGAGGGAGAAATCCGTTTGGCTAAAAACTTTATTAGGATGGATAGCAACCTATTAATCATTGTTTACGGTCACTGATACTGCTGGGCTACTATAACATCTTTGTCATTCGATGGGTTAAGCAAAAGGCTGTGCTACTTGATTTCATAACAATAATAAGGAATAAATTTCCAAAGCAGCAATTACTGCACAGAATGTCCCTGCCTGATTTTGAGCATTTCACGCTATTACTCACCTTTCTATGCTTACTAATCCTATGATTTCTTAGAATTGTATTTTCCAAAATGCAACAAGTTAGATGTCGATAGGCTTGTCTTAAAACATTGCATGCCTCTCCTCGTTCAGCTGCAAAAGTTCTTCGTTCGAGCTTATATTTCGATTTTGATCGCAATATCATATGCAGTCTTAAGAAAACAGGTCAGTGTTTCCCAGTCCAGAAGAGGAACTGGAATTGTAATGCAATGTTAATTCAGGAAAGGAACAAATTGTATTCATCGGAAACTCATAAATAATTACATCGCATTACAACGACACCATTTTGCTCGTTCATCCACTTCATGAAAATGACAAAATGAATGTAAGGATCAATTTTTACACCTGTTTGTAGTAGAGGACATAGTTCATAAACAAAATACCGCATGTTTCCTGTTTTGCATGACGGGAAGACATTTTTTTAATTTTTGTAAAGTCTTCTCGTTTACAGAAAATGAAAGTATTGTAATGATTCCATATCGATTCAGGATTTTCATTCAATATAAGAACAAGAAAGAAATGAATGCAATACAACCTCATTGCTGATAATCTAACCATAGTTACGAGTGAAATTATCATATAGATGCATAATGTGGATAAAAAAGAATCGGTGCCATTGATGAGTCTTGAAACTTCACTGGTGATGTCGGACTAACAGGATATGGGAATAAATTCATTTGTGATGAAAATAACGGCACAGTTGCAGGCTAAAAAAAGTTTTAGAAATTAGTTGAAAACTGAATTTCGAAATTTCCAATATCGATTAAAAGTTTTTAAGTTTAAAATATAACTTTTTTACCCTACCAACAGCAGCTTTTTTTTCTTTCTAAATATACGCTCTGCGACACTGTGACAAATGAAATCCTAAAGGACACATTCATCGAATTCATCACGTTTTACTGTATCAGTGAAACAAGGTACAATTACGAGAAGTGTATATTCACTTCCTCTTTTCTACCTTCCCTTCACTATTAGCACTTATCTCTTGCTGTTGGAAGAACAAGCTCATATAAACTCTTTTGAGTTGTATATACGTTTGAATTGAACCATTAGCAGAATGAATAATTACAAATTGCTGCATTTTATGGAGTAGTAATAAAGTTACTATTTGGGAAGACAAGAGGATGGGTATTGTCAGGTGTCTGTTATTATGATAGGAAGGATATTCACAGAAAAACTGGTAGTTGTTCTCGTAAGAAGTGTGAAGAACTGCTAAAAGCTCAAAGAGATTCATTATAAGCATGGACACCTAACCTGGCAAATTAATCAGCCGATATCGGCCGTTTTCAAGGAAGGAATTGTGGATTTAAAGTACCATAGTGGCATGTCTGACCTTGGACAACTTTGCAAGTCAGAAGGTTAAAGTTTAGACTTTACCCGAATTGCAATATTATTGTACTGCAATGGTTGAACTTTCAAAACAACTTATTTTATGATATAAAATGCTCAATTGCTTAAATATAAAGTGGTATTTGAATATCGGAAAAGGAATTATACCTGTCGTATGGATGACCGAGGCAAAACAGACATGGGAGCAATATTCTGAATCAGAAGTGAACTGGCACTTGTAAAGGCGAAATTTTTCCGGCAACGTGCTCGTCGATTACTAAACCATGTCTAAATATTAGCAGCTCATTTATGGATATTTGTAAAAAATTTCATTTAATTTGTACAATAGTTCTTAAAATTGGGTACAATGCTTATATGTTGAAAAGGGTGGTATTGTCGTTCCGAGAGATTTAATGTTTACTTTGATTTAATAAGAACGACTATAAAAAGAACTGAAAAGATTCCCTTGAAATCTCAAATGGCAGTATTATTGATTAAAAATTAACTCCATACTGATTTCGTGTAAATAATTATTCAAAAAATTCAACAGAAGATTCATGTACCATTATCTTATCTTCACTAAGGCTTGTTTTTACAGCAATTCGTTCCCGTTCATCCTGATCAGGATAAGTATTCGCATTAAATGCTGCCTCCATAATCTCGAGTTGCTCACTGCTAAAACTTGTTCTGTTTCGACGCACTCTTCTATTTTTTTCGAAATTTGCATCTTCTGGTGCATTTCCATTTTTTTTTTCTCCGGTTCCTTCGCCTTCCGAATAGCTTGTTTCAGATGTTTCCGGACAATCATTATCATCTAAATTTAGAATTTACCCCAATTTGTTCCAAACTCCGCTTTACACAAGTTATGCATTGCAAATTTTTGGAAAATCTAAAAATTTCTGCAAACAAAAAACCAGTGATAAGAGGACAATTCGAAATGGAAATACTATTTCATAAAATCAAATTAAGTGTCGAACAATATAAGGAAAAAAACTAAAGAAGAAATTATCACCGCAGCATTGATATCTTCCCCCAAAAACTTGTGAGTCACTATAAAGTAGTTGTTGCGATATTTGAAAGTTGTAGTGAGAGTGTGACAACGAGCTTGTCCACTTGGGTACGGTAGGTACGTAGATGAGTATATATGTGAAAGACAAACTACTGCACTGATCAAAGGAAAACCGAATGAATAAAGCAAACCCATCCAAATCATAATTTTTGGACCACAATTTTGAGAGTAGAAATGGGAAGACGGTAAAATGTAGCGGAAGATGAGAAGGTGACAAATACGTCCGTATTGAAGTTTATGACTTTTTAATTGCCTTCCATTCTCATTTCTTAGTATTTTTTTCGAAGGTTTTAATCAGTCATTTATCGTTGCAGCACTGGGAAATAAAGTAAGTTAACAAAAACCTTTCAAGAAAGTCTTGAGAGGAAATAATAACCTTAAACCATGAATAAGCAATTATGACTCCAATATCTCCGGTATTATTGTAAATCCGGAAAAGTACCTTGAAGCCCATGTAGTTCCAAGAAGCATGCTGAGTAATTTATACAATGACGAAAAGCGCAAAAGCATTTTCCGACCAAGTAAGAGGTAAAGGGAAGGAATTATTTGAGCCGTAATTGATACAAGGCGTAGTTGCCGACTGTATTCTATTTGTAAAGTACAAAATGGGGATTACATATGGTGGCAATAGGATCATTCGAAAAGGAAGGTCGCGTGCCAACAAAGCAGAAAAGTGGTTAATAAGATTAGTTGGGGAAGAGTATGTACGATCCTTGATAATGCTCGCTTCTGTAGATATCAACAGATTGCGCTTTCGATAATTACTTCTTCGTTACTTTGAACTTTTGCGATATATATGTATATTTTGCAATATTTGATCATCCACAACCATCAACAACAACAACAACAACAACAACAA